CGTATCTCTGTGAGTTCAAGGCCAGCCTGGTCTACATAGTGAGTTCCAGGCAAGCTGGGGCTGCAGGGAGACCATCTCAAAAAGACCACAAAATAAAAAAAAAAATAAGGACACTTATGCATCAAGAGGACCGAACTCTCATGACCTCATCCAGTCCTACTCATGCCGGGAGGCCCCACCTCCAAACACCACCAGCATAGGAATTTGGGCATGAAGTGTTCGATGCATCAGCTCAGGGAGATGTGTTTGGTCCATGCACTGTCTACTCTGGTAAGCCTGCTTTGTGCAGACTTCTGACTCCTTTTCTGATCCCTCCCATTTGCAAACAGCTCAGGATTTCCCTGGCTGACTGACCATCACTTTCTCCAACATGTTTGCTGCTCTGTGGACCCTCTGTCCTCTTTCCAGGAAAGTGAGTCCTGTGTCCTGACAGTGCCTCAAGTCAGTGGATTCTTCTTTGTTCAGTCGTGTACTCCGGCCTCTTTCGAACATCTGCAAAATCGAATCCCGAGCCCTCTCCACTCCTGCTGCTAGACAACCCATGCAGTGCCCCCAGCATCTGGTCTGTTTTCTCCCTTCTCCTTCATCTAGGTAAGCTGGGCTCTGAGCCTTGTGATTTCAGGGCTGGGGCAGGAATGCAGTCTGATGCATGCAAGGCAAACACTCCACAACTAGCCACATCCCAATCCCCCTGTTTCAGTGCTGAAGCCAGGGTACAAGAAGGTGCGGGTGCTGAGGAGATGGGGCGAGAGACCTTTGAAGAAGGCCAGCCTGGAGGAAGTGCCACTGAGACCTGTGCTACTATTAAAGGAGCGTGGCCCTCAGAGCCCCTCCCTGTCCTCCAAGAAAAAGCTGTCCTCCACCTGACTCTGGAAATCCCCTCCATTGTTCAAACCCTTTCCTGGTATCTGTTTATGATTTCTATGGAAATGGTCTGGGGCAGAGGAGAAAGAACATTCTGCCCCAGGTAAGACAGCCAGTGGCTATATAGGTAAAGTCTCTGGAAATCAGCCCTAGATTGTTCCAGTCCTTTCCTATTCTGTGTATAGTTTCTATGGACAACCCCTGCTTTGTGGTTTTGTGGTTTTTCTGCTTAAAAGTCCTGAGTTTTCACTGCTCAGGGTCGTAGTACAGCTCCCGAGACTGTCTGTGTCCCCAACCAGTTGGATCCAATAAAGTGCTCCTTTTTACTGAGACTCAGTGTCTGAGTGGTCAATTTAGGGAATTTTACGGACCCCAAACACTATGGACTCCAGGAGGTCCTCAAGGCTACATCCTTTGCTCCAAAGAGCCGAACTACATTAAAGAACATGCTTTTATGCACAGTGTTAGAACAACAGTATGCTGAGATACTTGAGTGAGGCATCCCCAAAAGGCCAGGTGGCTTTAATAATTGGAAACAGGTTTGACCTCCCCACCAATGTCACATTTACCCATTGGTTCCTCCATCACCATACAGAAATGCTTTAAAAAAATGTTTATTATTTTTATTTTATGTGAATGCGTGTATTGCCTACATATAGGTAAGTGTACCCATGTCATGCAATGTCTGCGGAGGACAGAAGAAGCTGTTGGATGCCCTGGAACTGGAATTATGGACAGTTGTTAGCTGCCATGTGGGTGCTGGGATTCGAACCTGGGTCTTCTGCAAGAACAGTCAGTGTTCTTTAACAGCTGAGCCATCTCTTCAGCCCCTAGAAGTACTTTTTATTCTGTTTTTTTTTAAATTTCTGTGTATGAGTGTTATGCCTGCATGTGATAAGTGTACCTGTGTCGTGCAGTACCTGAAGAGAACAGAAGGGCATCAGATTCCCTGAAACTGGCATTAAGGATGGTTGTTAGCACCCATGTGGGTGCTGGGATTCGAACCCCTGGGTCTTTCTGCAAGAACAGCCCGTGCTCTTAACCACTGACCAATCTCTCCAGCCCTGAGAGGTGCTATTTAAAAATAGCTTTCTAGCGAGGCATGGGGGTTCACACCTGAAATTCTGGCAATTGGAAGGTAGAGGCAGGAGGATCAGGAGTTCAAGGTTATCTCTGGCTACATATCAAGTTTGAGACACCCCCCCAATGGTTTAAATGAAAATGTCCCCCATAGGCTCCAAGTAGTTGGACATTTTGTCCCCAGATGGTGTTGCTGTTTTGGGAGGTCTTAGAAGGTGTGGCTGTCCTGGAGGAAGCATGTCACTGGGAGTGGCTTAGAGA